GGTCTCTGAAGCGAGGACCACACCTTATCCTTATTGCGCTATGCCTCAAAGAGCCAGCGCTTGAAGGACGCGGCTCTGAATTGGGCCTCACAAAGTGGAATCAATTCAAAACCTATATGTACCAAAATAGGCCACTCTCAACGGCATTTACTTCGCAAATTGCTCAGAATCGAAAATATGGTAAACACACCCTTTTAGCTTTATACTTGTAGGTTCAACCACTCAAAGCATGCTACATTTTTGCATTCCGGATGTTGGTCTTTTTTACTTGCAATGAAATATGTTGCACGCAAAATGAGAGGGTGGAAGAATTGACCAAAAAAACGCACTGTCCAAGCAAAAAACATGAATAAATGAATACTCTAAAGTGAATATTAATTTGTAAAGGACATGATGTGTTTGAGGTTAAAGGACTTCAATGAACATACCATGCGTCAAAAACGATAGGACACCCTGTATATGCACGGTTTTCAACGCACTATCAAAAGGAAACTATTTATCAGATATGAGAGTATGCTTAGACTTAGACATCTTTGTTGGAATTACATCTGACATGATTATTTTTCCGTTGTCCCATTTTTCCATGGAGATTCCGAGATTCCTCATGAACATGTGCTGTAATTATACCAGAAGGTGTTGCCAATGGGAATGTGTTTTTGGCAAAGGAAAACACTTTCTTAAGATGCAAAAAGGAAACTAAAGGAAACTATCATGATAGAAGGTGAGGCCCGCACCCTCACATGAGAAGGAAAAATGTTGAAAGATGAAATGGTTACTGTACAACAGTTCTTCGCAAGGAAAATACGTGTTTAAGGATCAAGTATGGATCAAAACTTATGACCCTCTTAAAAGTGGAAATGGTCATGAAGGCCCTGATAGCAGTAGAGGGCAATTTGTATTGAGAGGTGAGAGCAAACACGTCAATAGAAATCATTTGGGACAGGATTAGGCGACGCACAGTTCAAAACCAAAGAAGCTTATATAAACAGTAGAAGACTTGTGGGAAGGGAGTTTTTTGCAAGCGATGTGTTTTGCAATATGGTACACTGATTTTGGATATGCGAGATTATATAATGAAGGTTGCTCGATTAATGAAGGTGCCTCAATATTCAAGAGGCAATGGGACAAACATTTGTGAGCAACGTGTGTCTAGGGTCGATTTTTTTAGACTAGAAGACATGTGTATATACACATCTACGTAATGTCCTGGCATACATACACAGATAATCACAGATGATATACCTTTTTTGGTATACAAAAAGTATGCAATACCGACTAAAACAGTTGTCCTACTCCATTTGCTCATTGTTTGCACCCATCCTGCTGGTCGAGGAGCGTTTTGATCAACGTCTGACCGAATATTCTGCCTTTTGGGCGTCGCTACTGGCCCTTTGCGAGAACTACTGCGCCGAGGCGGATGCCGGTTCGTTGCCGGTTCGCAAACAGGTTTTGGTGCGTGCAAAGACCCCTTTCATGGACGTACAAGAAGAATCAAGAAGATTTCTGCGAGATATCCTTTTCACCTTTACAAACCAAAGACCTTAAATAGAGCTCTCTCACTAAAAGCTTGAACAACAACCTGGCAGCTCCTGGGGACAGGAATGCAGAGCGGTGACAACCAAGACGCTGCACGTATCCTGTGAAAACGTACCTGCTAGTTGTGTTTAGGCCTGGCAGGCTCTGGGTGCACACTTATATATGTATATAATCATTGAATCTCCCGAGCATGCGTCTCCGCCCACTCAGGTCCGTTACACTCATTTTTTCAGGTCAAGGGGGGTGCAGTCAGGCCAACAAAGACTTTGCACATTTCCTGTGGAAGTTTACTATACCGTTTCCTTTGCCGTTGCTTGTACCTAAATAATTGCATTCTGTCACGAGGAGTCTTCACGGTGCGTGCTTTGTTGGGAGGCGTTTGAGAGGGAGCTGGCAAACTGATGTTTTTGTAATGGTGGTGGTGGTGGTGGTGGTGGTGGTGGTGGTGGTACACAGGGCTTGCATCAAACACTTTGCCCCCAAGTCCACTGGTGATCTAGCATCGTACCGACAAAGCGAGTCCCACCCTTGCAAATGATCCAAGAAGCGCGGCACAAGAGCCGGCTGATAATAACAAATAATAACACTGGCCTGGTGGCGGATGTCGTGTGGTTGAGATGACCCGCCTCAAGGTACAGCCCGCCTTGCAGCAGATGTCACAATTCCTGCGGGATGCGGAGGCAACCGGCTAGTTGGTCAAGAGCAAAAACACGGTGGGCCAACAAGGATTCTGATATCGTGAGCCCCTGTGCACCAAATCGCAATCGATATATGTATATATAGTATATTTCATATATATATATATACATATATTTGTATATACCCTTGTAAATCCTTGTGAAATATGGAAGGGGGCCCGCCGGTGGCTAGCAAGCAAGACATGTTTTTGACGTGGCAATTGGAGCGATGAGGTATTGCATATAGATAGTATAGGCAGAAAAGATGTACAACGTATTACTGTATTTATCTGAGGAGCCACCAGATTCAAAAAACCATTGATTGGTCCGGCTAGGTTGCTGCAGATGTGCGGGATGCAGTCAGTGCTGCGCAGATGGAAGCATCAGAGCGCAACTTGCTGGAAATCAGCATAGTATAGTAGATGATCGGTCTAATGGCAGTGATCACTAATGAGCCAAAACAGTCGTGGATGCCTTGGGTACAGGCTTGGAGTTGCAGACAAGTGTGGAGCATTGACTTAAACATGCGAAGACTTCTACACTCTTTCGATGGTCAGTTTCAGTTTTATCATCAGCGATGGTGTGTGTGTGTGTGTGTGTGCCCCTTGTAGTCCCAGGGTTTCTTTTTGAATTGTTTTTAGCAGGGGGGTGCCAGGGATGCACACTGGACTGGCACCAACGAAGACGCCAGTGTTGCATCTGTGAAATAAATCCGGGACGCCGGATTGACGTACCTGCTTGGCAGAAAACCTACGTCATGGACAAGCTGTTCCAATTCTGTGTTTTGCAGTAATTGTCTAGTGCTGACCTCACCGTCGTTGAGCTTTGGAGATCGTGACTTCAGAACTTTCAGCTTTGGAGATTGGTGGAGCTTTCTCCTTACTGGCGTGTGGCACCGCTGTCAGTTCAGTATGCATATCTATAAGTGTGTCTGGCTTCATGCCAGCCCGGGATGAGCCCGAAGAGTGCCTCCCGTGGACTCGTCGAACGGGGGTTTGTCCATTGTTTCCCCCTGCCCGGGAACGTAGGTGTCCGAAGCGGACAACAGGAGGCTTATGCCAAAGTTATTTGCCAAGACTTGCTGAATTGCTGAAGTATTGAATTCCAAGCTGGCTCATGCCTGTACGTGACCGCAGCGGTCAAAGGTGGCAGCCCTCCGGCAAGCCGTACGTGGTCGCAGCGACCACAGCTTGTTCAAGGTTCATTGGATCCTGTCGAGAGCTTAGTCCCCTTCCTCCCCCCACCCCCTCTCTTCCCCTTTCGCTTGTTGGGGTGTTCCTGAATGTAAACCCCTTTCTCCCTCATGTGTCCCTCGACGCTTGTTCGTAGCTGGGAACACCTGTCCTCTTCCTCTCTTTTCTCTCTCTCTCTCTCTTTTTTCTTTCTTTCTTTCTTTCTGTCTTTCTTTCTGTCTTTCTTTCTTTCTTTCTGTCTTTCTTTCTTTCTTTGTTTTTCTTTCTTTCTTTCTTTCTTTCTTTGTTTTTCTTTCTTTCTTTCTTTCTTTCTTTCTTTCTTTCTCTCTCTCTCTCTCTCTCTTTTCTCCTTCCTTTCCTTTCCCTCCTTCTTGCTTGGGTGTCCCTGGATGCTTTTCTCTTGGTGTGTCCTCCTTCTTTTCCTTTCTTTTCCTTTCCTTTCCTTTCTTCTTTTTATTTCTTCTCTTCTCTCCCTACCCCTCCCTCCTGTCGGGACCTTAGAGTGGGACGCTACTAGGGGCTCCTGGCCTTACTACTAGGTGCGAGGACGCTACTAGGTAAGAGCGCCTCCCCTTCAGGAGGCGTGTGTGTGTGCCCCTTGTAGTCACAGGGATTCTTTTTGAATCGTTTTTAGCATGTGCCAGGGATGCACACTGGACTGGCACCAACGAAGACGCCAGTGTTGCATCTGTGAAATCAATCCGGGACGCCGGATTGACGTACCTGCTTGGCAGAAAACCTACGTAGTGGACAAGCTGTTCCAATTCTGTGTTTTGCAGTACTTGTCTAGTGATGACCTCACCGTCGTTGAGCTTTGGAGATCGTGACTTCAGAACTTTCAGCTTTGGAGATTGGTGGAGCTTTCCCTTACTCACCTTGACTTCTTAGGTTTTTCACTTAGGCTGGCGTGTCAGTTCAGTACGCATATCTATACTATAAGTGTGTGTTCTTGACGCTGAGGCCGGGCGGCATTGACGGGATAGTTCTCGGCGCCTTGGTTCAACAAGCAAAGGTTCACAAGAACTACTCTTGCCCTTACTGGGATAGTCGATTTGTGAAGAGTAGTCTGGTAGTTGTCATCAAGTAGTTGTCATCCAATCTGCACTCTGTCTAAAGATCGGGTGTTGTCAAGCAAGGCTTGGTGAAACGTGGAGGAAGACAAAGGTTTGTGAACACACGCAGTTTGTGTTGCAAGAAGTTTAGTTATCAAAGAACTCTTGGGAGAGGGTTTCTTGTTTTTGCTGCACCGCCCAATCCTACTGTGCAGGCGCCGCCAGCTCAAAAGACCTGACGTGAGACGAGCATCAAAAGGGGGACGTGGGTTTCAGCAGATGACATAGTCCCAGCAGTCGATTATTTACCTCGAAAAGTGTTCCACCTCTCAAAATTTTGATACGTATTGTATGTTGTTCAAAAAGCCATGGTGACATGTGCTTTGTCACTCAATAATTTGTCTAATGAAATTGTTTTTGTCGCGTGTCTATAAAAATGACCTAAAGCGATTTTGATACGGTGACGTGGCTCGAAACAATGCCTGACTTGACTACACATGTTGGGTTCCAAAAGTTCGATATACCAGTATTCGCTCGGGCAGGTTCAAACACCTGACAGCCCAAAGCAAATGCTGAAGGCGCGCTTGATGCTCCAAGTGTTGGCAAGGTGGTGACCGCATGTGACTCGCACATGTGGTTCCAAGCTGATATGTCCTTGGGCACAGCCCCTCACATCACGACCCCCGCATGAAATCCTGTTTGTTTCCATACGACGCTGCCGTGGCTCTTGTACAACCGCACTTAACAGGTCTTAGCGCTGCACGGGGAAGCGCTGAAGCGCCAGCTTGAGACACAACTGGCCGAGCGGGAGAACCTGCGCTTCCAGGCAGGGTCTTCTCGGTGCAGGGTATGGTTGCGTGGGTGGGGCTAGACAGCCATACGGTTTAATTCACTTGTTTATATTTGTTTTGTAATTTGAGAAAGCTCCACAAGCTCCAGAATGACCTTGGGGTGGAATTATGCTGAATTCAAGCATTTGCAAGCATTTGGAGGATGATACACCCCACCTCCAACAATCATCGAAGTCCTCTACAAAGTGGGTTGGTCGGTTCTCGTCAGCTGGCTGTATATAAAGCTGGTTTATGATAGGTTTAGATATGGTTGTTCTGCAAGTGTCTACAAAGGGTATGTTTACTGTTTATCGTACCTACCTTGTTTGATTTGTTTAATAGGAGCAAATTTAGACCTTTGCCACAGCCTAGTGCCACACAAACCACAAGATGTTTGACACGAAGTTCAACAAGGTGCAACAGCTCTGAAAAGGGTGTTGCAAAACCAGAACTATCATGACTAGAGTCTAGAGCTGTGTTTGATGCCTATCTCACTTGCAAACTTGAGTTGAACCGCAACCGTGCGCTGAAGATATGTGCTATTTTGTGTTCTGGCAAGCGCGAACCCAACGGTCGCTTCAAAGACAGCTTCAATTCCAGGTGAGGCTTCTCGAACGCGATGTACGCGAGCGAGAGCCGAGCTTCATTGAAAAACAGATCGCACAGCTTGAGGCGGGAAATGTATAGAAAGAAGCATTTCTCGGGGTCACCATAAAATTTGAACAACCACAGTTTGAAGATGACAATGACAACGATGATGATGATGATGATGATGAATATGAATAATTCTGGACCTGGCACACCGACAAACACCTCGATTTCTTCATCTCAGGTGGCTTGTATACAGTCGACCGAGCAGTTTGGGCAGGCCGAGAATCACAGCAAGGTGGCGGTGCTGGAGGAGTTTGGTCGACTGACTGCTCGACGCTCACAGCTGCAGTCGGCGCTCGCAGCCACCTTAGCAATCAAGACATGTCACAGGTGGGCCAGGTGCATGGCCAGGTGTCCATTTGTTGAGTGGTTTCCAATGGTTTTCCTCTTGCTTCGTGGATCATCATGGATCCCATGATGATCTTATTATGTGTGTATATCTATATATATGTGTGTGTAGTGGGTCGTTTGATGTTGTTTTTTTAACTGTGTGTGTAGGGGTAATTTTGAGTTGACATGATCATCTCCGCAATTGCGACCGAACATGCTGAGAAGGCAACTGACGGAGACTGTTTGATCCTGCCAGACGAATGTGGCATACACCGGACGATGGTCTGTGGGCGTGTGGCAGATTTGGGTTTGCTGAAGTCTATTAGGGCAGACAGTTGGGGAGGATATACGTAGCAAGTATATGCAAGAACCCGTAAAAAGAATATATATATACGATGTGGTGACACTCCCTGAGGAAAACAATGGGAAACTCAATGCCATGTTGGTGTTTACGATAGCCTGGTTGAAACCGCGGTTGAAACCTAGTTGAAGTATGTTCAATTCTTCCCTGCATTATTTTTGTCCAAGGCAGACATGGAAGGGGCCCAGGCACCGGCGCAACTGCGATCACTTGCGCTTGTAGGTTTTGTGTGCAACCATGTAACTAGAGACCACGTGGAATTGGGCATGAATGCATCATAACTGTTTCAATTACAGTCACGTTGTGGTGTTTGAAGCAATAGGTCGTGGACATGTGTCATGAGTTCTATCGAGAGGAAGCAATCATGTTTGGTCACTGAAGCGTCTGTGAGTTGGGAATACTCTTTACTCCCCACAACGCAACATATGAAGCATCAAGACGATCCGGACTACAGACCCCCTTGAATTGTGGCTGGGATTGATGACGCGGAAGGTTTGGCCCCAATATCGTGTATTTGTATCATACCATCTTGGAGTCTCGGAGGGGTAGTTGATCCTTTCGAAAGTCTTGCCAGTGCAGCTCAGCGCAAGAACCGGGGCAATGTCACGACGATTCGCATCCAAAGCCACTGAACATCAATCTGAATCAAATCCGATGAGTGTCCAAATCAATCTGAATCATCCGCATGGTTGTTTTTCCCCTTTGTTTTCCAACTTGAACATGACACGTTCTGACTGTCCAAAAAGACGTGAAAGGAAGAATATGCCTTCCGCAACTGCCAGGTACAAAGTCCGGCCCTTGCAGCATTGGAGGTTGTCAGGGGTGCTGTCGTTGGGTCCATCCGCGGTTCCTGAGATGAATGATGGCCTCACATGTGGAGCATCTACTGCTATTTTCGTACTTGGCACTGTCCTTGGGTGCCTTTGGTTGCCCTTTGAGGCAATATACTCATGACTCATGACTCACTTTGCTGAAGTACAGTGCTTTGCTTGTCAGGCCTCATCCTTTCTTGCAGCATCAAATGAGGCGATGCTACAGAATTGTGCCTGTTATTTCCTTCGTGTTGGGGACCTGTATTCTTTGGCAGAAAGGGTCAACGTTAAGTCAATTGCAGGTGTACTTTGCTTGTCGCCCCTTCACCAACATGAGCATACGCCACAGGTCGACGACGAGGATTTGGACATGGCAAGGTGGGAATGTCGGCGTTTGGAAAAGCGCTTGGCGCAGGCAGGGTGCCCCGCACAGGGAGGGTGGCAGAAAGCTGGTTGTCTCGCGACAAGAGCTTCACCGGTGACCAGTGCACAGCTCGCGCACAATGCAAAGGGTGCATTTCCTTCATGGCCTGTTTGAATTTGACTTACAGGCCCTCTCTTCAACAATGATAATCATAGAAGTGGAAATGGTCCCTGGAAAGACGGTTTTAAGGAGGTTGTCAACTTCCATGTGTCCTTTAACATAGGGTATTAGTACTGTAAATTGGACTCTCCCCCCCCCAGACAGTAACACTCTAAAAATCAATTTGCTACTAAACTTCCTAAGAGAAAGAGCACCAGAAATCCCAAACCAAAATCAGGCCACTTCAACACGATGCGATCTTCAATAGCGATTTGAAGATTGAAGGTTGAAGACCCTGTCATCTCATCTCATGCATCTCATCTCATTCACATAGCTTTCTTTGCCCACCCCACCCCCAAGGTCGAAGAACCTGCCAGTCAGGGAGAGTGTGACCCCCCCTCCCCCGGAGCTACGCCGGAGCCACCGCGGGAGCCAGGGCACCGCTGGGGGTTTTGGCCCGCCGTTTCTGCGGACAATCTTCGGTACACCAATCTGGCCTGCAAAATCTCGTGCGCTTTCACGTGCTTTTTTAGTCCTTTTTCCCGTGCGTGTTCGGCACCGGAAAAGCACAACTTCGGAGGCAAAAAATCTGCTCAACCCAGCCCCGGTCACATCTCAGCCAGACTCCAGCCGGACATTTAGTGGGGGATCCACCCAGGCCAAAGCCAGCTCCTTCAACTTGAACAAAGAAAGTTGTGCTGGTGTGAAGGACCACAGAGCACGCTAGGAGTGGACCAGAGACTGAAGACCTCTCAGGCAAAAGGCAGCTGCAGATCCAGAATGCACTATTTAGACACCGCCTTTTGGCGTCGACTTTTCTCGTGCGCTTCGTGGTGCTCACTCGTAGTTTGCCCGGGCAGGGTACAAATTGTAAATATGTTTTTTGCTCGAAACGTTTCCTCTGCACGGCACGTTGATCATCTTCACTTTGAAAATAAACACAGTACATAAAAAAATAATATTTGGCGAGCTCCCCCACCATCAGCTGGGGCCGGCGGAGTTTTACTATACAGCCTCAGTCAGCCAGAGGTTGTTTTCAACTCCATCCAGGAGCTAGGAGCAGGTTGGGTGCAATTTTCAAAGTGTCCGCAAGAGCGAGGCCCATTGTGAATGGGTCTACAATGTGGCTTGGGACAAAGCAAAGCAATAGGACCAACATTGTAAAATTTATGCACATCGTTTGTGCCACCGATCCAACATGATTCAGCTATTCAGCTTACCGTATACCTGAGTTCATTCACGCATTCAGTGGCAGCCAATCTATTAGGTGGTTGGATCTGAGGACGAAGAGTACGTCTCCAATACTGGGCGTCTTTAGGCCATGACCCGTCCTGAGTGATAAAAGCCAGGCTCGAAGCTACAACTGTGAACTGCTCCAGGTGCGCCAGTCTAGTGAGAGAATTGTTTGTTTGTTTTTCGTTAATTGTTCTATTTTTGGGGCCGACCTCCCTCCTAACAGCAATGGCCTCTAACCTAACCCAATAGTGATGGCCTCCAACCTAGCAGCCATGGCTTCCAACCTAATAGCGATGGCCATGGCCTCCAACCTAATAGTGATGGCCTCCAACCCAATAGCGATCGTCGCCAACCTAATAGCAATGGCCTCCAAACGTTTGTTTTTCGTTCATGTGCAACACCGTGGCTCCCGTTATCCCTAGGACCTGGAGCGCAAGCCAGCTATGTGTGTCCCTTAGCATAGCGCAAACAGACGTTGCGGGCCATTCTGAAGAAAGTTTGGTCCGCCAGAGTGTGGTTGAAGATCGGGATCCTTTGCTAACAGTCCAGACTCACAGTCCAGCGCACATAAGTAAAAATTCCAAGTTTGATTCAGATTCTTCAGCCTCGACATTCTACCAGGACACCATGGCAGACATGGGAACAAATCTTTGAGCAGCGGGGCATTTGCTGAGGTCGACAAACGCATCAGAGGACCTGAGTGAATGCATCTTCCAAGCATGCCCAAATAGAAAAAGTCCTCACAAGCTTGCTACCTTTAGCTGTGCATCGGTCTTTGCTTGAAGATTGAAGCTTATTTTTAGCTTTTCGACATTGTCGCCAGGAGACCGAAGTTGCGGCTTTAGTTGCACAGAACGAGGAGATGTTGTCTAGGCACACTGTCGGCCTAGGTCATCCAATCTCATTAATTAACAGGCTTCTTAAGATAGATACATGGCGCTGCATGATCCGAAGTGAACCGCAATCAAAATTGCGTGATGGTTCTTGCGCATTGTGTGCTTGGTTTCTCTGATGTGTGCGACATGTTCAATAACAGTTTATTGCTTTTTGTGAGGGTTGTGCCAAAAGAAATTGTGCCCGATCAACCTCCAAATAATGAACCAAGACGACCTGCACCCCACACCCCGCCCGCCATTGAACACCCATGACCCGCTGTAGCCGCTGTAGCCGACCGTCGTGAGGCTGCGCAGCAAGCTCCGCACGGCCCAAGGCACCCAGGTGTCCCCGCCCAAGGTGCCAAAGGCCCCACCTCCCAAGGGGCGGCGAGGAGGCCTGGAATATCAGAGCAGGATGGCGGAAGGATGGCGGCCCCTGAAAAAGATACTTTATGTTGGTTTGGGGGATGTTTTGGGTATTGTGCTTGTTACTTTCAACGGAGGATTTTAGGATTAAGCTAAAACTGTTTCTACATCCATATCCAAGGACCTAAAAAGAGACGTTGCTTCCGTAACTTGCTTCTCAAAGCTTCTGGTGAACACAACTACTGGGCAGAGGCTCTGTCCTGTCTTGGCTGAAAGAAGAACCTCCAACAGAAACAAAACATTCGTCCGAGCTGGGATTGTTTAGGATGGTGATGGCCAAGTTGGCTTCCTTGAGGGTCAGTGAGATTGCGTTCTGCGGGTTTGCACATAAGAGAGGCTGCAGATCTACGTGGAATCAACCAGTTATCTTGAGATTGATCCACCAAAGTCTGACCTGATCAGAATTTGGAGGGCTTGGACTCAACCTGTTTGCATTTTGGTTCTCGTGCTGACCACAGTATGAGGTGGCTTCCTTCTTTTTGTACCAAACCACGTTCCTTGCAAGCCACTCACGTGGCTTCCTTGCGGCATATGTGCGAGCTGGGAGGCGCAGATGTGGTCGAGGTTTTGACCATCGGTGCAGGACCAGAAGGTGTGGAACCAGTTGGCTGTTTTGGTCGGTGGCATTTTGGTTTGAGGCAGTTCATAAGAGCAGCTTGGACTCTCATTGGATGTCAAAGCGCTGCTCCGTGGTAACTAAAATGGGACATGGTACTGTGGGTGTTGGTGGAAGGCAATGCGTTTGTGACTCGCAATGAGATGAAGTGATGGGGCGACGCTGATGATCGCGTCCACCTTCGAACCTTGCTGCTCTAAAATGTGTCTGTCGATGAGTGCATGAGGCCAAGCTCCGCCCCTCCTGGCTTTCATTTTGCTGTTGGTCTTAATTGCTCGGGGTGTGTCAACTGTGGCTTCGCTGCTCTCCTTTGCTGTAACATTATCAAAGCACCTGGCCCATAAAGACGGGCAGACTGAGAGGATAATCCAGGATCACGGCGCTGACTGTCGGGATATGTGGCTAGTGCCTAAAGCCTACAGCCTGCTCCATAACAACGCGGTGGATATGCTTCGAGTTAAGGAAGGTATGCTGCTGCTCTTTCGTGTCGCAGCCGAGGTGAAAGGGTTTATATGTGTTTATGTGTGTTGGTGCCAGCAATTTTCGTTTGGGGCCGCTGGACTTGCCATCCAGGCCAGGATCTTGAGTGGCAGACCACACGAGCTCCAGCGGCGGGCTTAGGGGGGCGCTTCGGAACCACGATCAGAAATGGTGCCCAACATTTGGATGTTTGCGTGACACTGTGACACACTTTGTTTGGCAACAGTGGAGACCGCTTGTTTACCCGTGCGGGTGCAGGTGTGTGTGTGTGTGTGCGTGTGAGCGCCTTCCCGTGCGCTTGCACGTTCGCGTGTGTCGGAGTGTGTGTGTGTGTGTACTACCCCCTGAATCATGGAGCTCTTCAGAGTGTCAAGAGGGGGCTGGAGTGTGCTTCACATGCCTCCAGCCAACTGAGAAACTGAGATGTGCAGCGCAGTGACATAACTCCAGGACGCCGGAGTTACGTGCCTGCTATATCCTGCAATATGGTTGTAAGCATTTTAATATATTTTAATTGTCGTCCACTTTTAGAAGTGATAGGCTGTTGTAAGTCTTTGAGGCCGGCAGATGTTACTTGGTCTACCCAGGCAATTTTCGATTTGGGCTTGTTCAGACGGTATTCATACGTAATCTTATCTCGAGTGTGTGTTTGTGTGTGTGTCACTCGCGGAATCATAAGGTGCCACTTGGCTTTTGTTTGTTTAAGAACCCAGGGGGGTCACCCACGGACTTGACTAGTGATCCAACAAAAAGGTGTCAAGCTCCGTGTGGTATCTTGTGTGTTTTCGCGGTATGTTTCCACATGCGGTGTGATCCCCTTTCGGGCACGGTTTTGCATAACTGTGTCGCACTCCTTTTCGGAGTTTACTGATGCTTGCACTGCCAGTGTTTCACCTATCAAGAGACCAACTTCAGAACTACAGTCTGACAAGATCTGACAAGGTTTCACTCCTCAGAATGTTACTACTGACATCAACACTGCAGACTGCATAGTGGAAAGATATTTGGTCAAACCGTTTGAATCCTTTTGATTTCAGATAATGTCCAATTTCGCGCTTGGATTCAATTGAATCAAGCTTTTCTATTTTCTTGTTTCCTAGTGTGCACCGATTCCGGCCTTGTGTGTGTGTGTGTGTGTGTCACATGCTGTGTTTTTCACTTCTTTGGTTTCTATATATATACTGTATATACAGGTTTTTTGGGTGCAACCAGGTCGAGGTTCTTCCGTTTAATGTGTGCAACGAAGTTACGGTTGTGGATGGGAAGGAAAGGCTGCTGGTCACCTTCTTCTACCTGCAGAATCGTTGCCATGTATATAAGCAGTTTTGTTTCTGAGTGTTTACATCGTTCACCTTTCGATTTCAGGCTTATGAAGTTTGCAGTCACACCCTAAACGATTCTAAACGTGTAATGCAGTATATAACAAAGCAGCTAAGTGCGAATGGGTCAGGACCAAAAAATACTGAAAGCAGCTCTTTCCGAGTGTCCACCTCAAGTGCCCGATGTTCATGCGACCTTTTTGGTGTGAATTGGATTGGATCATGCTCGCACCAATGCAACATGCCAAGGAAGGGGGTTCCATGAAACGACCTGGAATTTTTTCATGGCCATAGGCTTAAGGCACCGTAAAGAATACAAAGTTGCTTGAAGGTTTGACGCAGACCACACACAAACAGTTACTTGACAACAAAACAGATACACAGCAACAGGCGTGTGCAGCGCAAAACTTCGAGTGGCGGTCCATCCAGTAGGTTTCCAAAGGGGTCATGGGAACTCATCCTGTCCAACCAGGCGCGAAAGCCATGAGAGCATGTGGTCCGGAGACATTTTGGGGGGGTCATGTTACTCCCAAAGATGGAGGAAGATTGACCCGCCTTGCAGGATCAACGATATCCACATCAAAAAAACCTTGCCCGGGCAAGCGGCTTGCAAGCGGGGTCTTGGGGTACCAGAAGCAGATGCAGTCGGATGCAGATGATTTGTTTGGCGCGTGAACAGCTGATGTATATTTGGCGTGGTTCAAGTCATTTCCATCGTTTCAGTCACATGGCAGATCCAACGAGATTTCATGATAATCACGTGAAAGATCCAACAAGCAGGCGTCGCAAACAATGATTTGACTAATGACGTCACAACTGTTCAGCATTGTGTCCAACATGTTCCTTCAGCATCGCTATCCGGGACGACTGTGAATGAGAAAGCCAACATCCTACTCCACAAGCAAACAATCATTCAAGTGTGCAAGTGGGCTGCCGATTCTGCGCGCCAAAAAGAGGAACCATGCTACCACAAGACACCTTCACTCCTGTGTCTTGCCTGGGCAAGGCAAGGCCAGGTGGCTTAGAATCTGTGTTCTTAGGGATGAAATGGGTTTGACACTTGCGGTCCATCATTGTCACAGTCATCGGACATACAGTAAACCCAGTATGGGAGCGCTTTAAAATTCGGGGTGATCTCGAATGTCCCGGTTCCATGCCCTGGTTGAACTAAGGATCCTTTGGTGAGTTTGATGATTTATAGACAGTTTGGAACAGAGTCTTGGCAAAGTGTTCTGCCAGGCCAGGGGCAGGTGGTGCAGAATTTGTAAATTGAGGAGACGAGCATCTCATCTACCAGCTCGCGGGGGCCAGCTTTGTTTGGAGTACAATTACAAGAACCGCTGCAATTGAAATGAACAAGCTGTCGAGCACACACTGTCCAGAGGTATGATTTGCCAATCTAACCCTTTGAACATTGGACAAATCCGAATATCGCAAGAGAAGGAGCTCCGAAGTTTCCCCATTTTATTCAATGTTGGTGGCCACAGCCGTTTTGAATCTTTGTGAAACATCATTGAGTATCAGATACCCTCAGCCTCAGGTACTGACGTTGCAATGTAAAAGGCAACACCAATCTGATGTGTATTCCATCAAGATGCATTTGCGTTGCAATGTAGTTAAGGCTATGCCGAAACCAATTCAAGGGAAGCTCTTCTTTGTACTCTCCCGCAGACCAATGCACCCCCAAAAGCCAAGGAGAATCCATGTCCAAGGTCAATATGAGACTCTAGCCGGTAGGATGGGGTATGTGATCTCTTGCGTAAACAGAGAGGGGTGTGCTGAGGTGTGAAGAGCATCCTTGCACCAGTACGGTGCCACTTTGCCCCTAGGCCAAGCAAAGACGTGTTGCTGGCCGATTGGGAATTCCACTTGGTTGGGGCAGTGGATCTAAAGGCTGCGGGTACAGCCAACTTGGAACTGTGTGCCCAGTGACATCCAGTGACGCTTGAGTTGAACACACAGTGACTCACCAAGATGGCTCGCGAAGTCGAAGAGCTTCGCTCCTATCGAGGTTCTTGAAAACACAGACGCGCTGTTTTGCACCTTGAGGCATCATGGCTAAGGCATGATGCACCCATCAGCCCCGCATGGAACTGTCGGTGTCAGACCGGCTTGTCAGTGTGGCAAAACAAGCAACTCGAATTCCTCGAATGCCATTGGAATGTCATTGCCTAGCCTGTTTCATGGGTGGGGAGAATGGCGCGAGCGCAGGTCTTTGTCGGTGCACGCCGTGTAGATGTGTTCCCTCCTTTCTCGAAATTGTGCATTGCGCCTAGATGTCTCATCCACATCGAGGATTTCTGTTGGAGAGGCTTGCTTATAATGCCTTTGGCTTCTTGCTCTAGATGTTCTGGAGCGATTTTCTTGAGCTTCCTCCACACTCAATGTCAATGGAGAGCTCGGAAGTTCTGTGTCCTCGAAACTGACAATGCCAAGACCTCAAGACTTCAGCAATGTTTTTTTGATATGATGCAGCCGAGAGCAAGAAAGCACAGCCTGACTGACTTCTCATGTGGGTGCTATTACAAACACGTTGTTTTTCCACATAGCTCCAATCAGTGCGATCAAGCTTTGCTCCGAGGGCTATTTTTGCAGGTTGCTTTTGCATGTGTTCATGTCACTTTCACATTGAAGGCGATGCTTGGCAAACTGAATATCTGCGCAGCCTTGGTAAGGTTATGCTGCCAGCAAAGCATAATTATGGCTGGCGGCCACGAAGGGATTGGTTTGCATAGTGTCTTGACACTTGCCTTGCCCTTGGTCCGGAGTGTTTTTCTTTGGAGGGAGATGAAGTTGGCCTGATTCCGGCAATGGTGGTGAATGCCGCCAACTATGCCGTCGGAAGCTTGATTTGAGGCCTAGGGCACATTTGGCCTGCACGCAACCATGCCACAGAGCACGCATTTTGTGTAGCAATGGTTTGAGAGGCTTATTTGTGGTGGTCATCGGGTCACTAAACTTAATGCACTTCTCCGAGCTGTTGGGGGCCATGCCTGGCAGATGAGGTTCTGATTCCTTGAGGTTCACTGCGTAGGCATACAGGCTGGGGCGGTTTGGGCTTCCTATTGGAGAGTTGCTCAAGCTGTCGGCCCTCCATTCCCCCGTAAATATGCCATAAATACTAAAAATTCACCTAGTTTTTGTCGGAGACATTTTGAATCTCATCATCAGTCGATTTCCATGCTGTCCTTTCTTTCCGGTCATCGCTTCTTCGAGCTCCCCATGTTGACGGTCGCTCGCTGTCACTGCTTCACTCGTTGTTCCCACCGGACATGCTTGTTGTTCCCACCGGCTGGCCAGCAGTGGGTGGCGCGGAGAGGAGGAGGCAGAAATTATAAATTGAACTAAATTGAGTTTCACTCCTCCTTTTCCCACCGGCATGACAAGCCAGGCAAGCCAGTGATGTTCCCATAAGAGTGATTTTTATGATGAAGCCATGACAAGTCAATGATCTTCTCTGAAGCAGTGCCTCTGTGGCTTCCATGTGATGACACAGTGGCCAGTTAGCTGAACCTGTGTCGTGCAAAATCACAGTGATGAGTCAAGGTTCTTGTAGTTTTGTTTGCTGCCAACCTTTTGGTTCAGTAGTGCTCCTCTTTCGTCACTTACCCAGCTTTGCTCAGTAGAAAGCTTGAAGTGTTGACTTGTTTGACTTCAGTAGGCTTCAACAGGGAATCTAGACTGCATGTTTGAAACTCACATCACTCGGGTGACCTTTCCGTAAGCTGGGAGTACGGGAAGGGTTTTGGGGATGCATTGCAGGTGGTCATGCGGGTTGTGAAGGTCCATATTAACTGCATGAGGCCTTGCAGGTCATTTTGTTCGCATTATGTCGTGCTATGTGGCCTTGCAGCTTGCGTCGACCTGTCAAAGCTGGGTCAACACTTAGCAAGTACCGCGCCACAAGGCAATGGCAAGAGGGGCCAATCACCAGTCCATCCAAACAGGTTGTTGTGTGCGCATTGAAAGGCTTGTTGGAGTCATGGCCATTTCAAGGGAGCAGCATTTCGACTTTTGCAAACTCTGCTTAAGAGGAAGGCTGCGAAGGGTTTGTCCTTTGTTTGCATCAAGACAAAGCGCTAGATTTGTTCAGTTGCCACGTCGAAATTGCTCGCATTTGCCCAATCGGGATCGTATTGTATGCTTCCCTGCCTCACCAAGCTGTGAGCTACGCCCATGTGATCGGTGAGCCGATTTTAAGGGAAAAGATGGGAAAAACGATGTCCCAGTGTTTTTGAAAAGAAGGAACTCCCTATGAAGTGGACAAAAGACCTACTTTTGGTATCCCTACTTTTTCCAATGACCTTTGGCTTTGAAAGCCTGATCATCCTGCCATGGAAGATGCGATGCTCGACTGGAGTGCACACCGCAGGGTGATCGGGGTGATTTGGGTCCCACACCCGGTCAACCACCAGGCCACAAGGCCGCAACGTACAGCATGCTTTGTTGGTATAGTGACTCTGGTCATGAACCCATTTCTCAGGGCAACCCTTGGTTAGATGAGTTCAGACCCCGATTTTAGGTTTAATGTTCAGCTCTGTCGTGATCCCCCTAAAGAGCTCAACTCGAAATTTGCTAAAGGCATCAAAATCCAAGTTCAAGAGGACCAAGATGATGCAATTTTAAGCGCAACACACTCAATACCTTCCAGCTTTGGGAAACTTCGCTATACTTTGAGGTGCTTCAGCAGCGGGGAGGTCCGATTTGACTGAAAAATCACATCAACTCCAAACGAATGATTGATAGGAGAGTTCTGCCAGTTCTGCTTTCATGCCCTGGTTCAAACTCCTTTCATAAGTTGGGTTTCAAGATTAACACTGATGTTTAACCACTACAAAGTCGCTGGGATCATTTTGAAACATCCGAACACGGTGCGCTAACGACACTGAGTCAGCTCAGGCACACCTCATGAGTGCGCGCAAAGAGCATGGTTTTGCAGTCGATTGGATGTGTTTGCCCAGCCCACTCGGGTGAACTGAGGGCAGCACTTCGGCAGAGTACTTTCACAAATTTGCTTTCACAAATCTGCAAACCCAGCCAATTCGGCTTTCAAACCGAGCTTAAGTACCATAAACAAGGTGTGCTTTGCAGGCCAAAGCTTGGTGGCCTGTGCTTTGCAGTGACCACATTGGGCCGAGTCCATTTGGGGCGATTTACGTCATGTGGGTATCGTGACTTCCTCACAGGTTTACTGTATAAGCGGCTGATTCCTACGAACCGTGGAGCTTGGGTGGCGATGCTTCCAGTGTGGCTACACAGAAATGGAGGCCGCTTGCTCATTGGGGGAAGTCAACTCACATGGGTCTTGTAGCAGCAGATTCAGATTCTACAAGCAGACTTTAGCCTGAACACAAAATCCCTTTAATTGGAAAACATAGGCTCATATCTGGCTTCTTTTCGAAAAGTCAGTTCACTGTGAGAAACGCATCATCTAAGAGCTGCACTCCAGCCAGTGGTCCCTACCAGTGAAGACAAGATCGTTTGCCCACTTGTACCGCCAGAGGACATGGACCGGACCAAGAAATTCCCGCAGACGTACACTGGATCGGGATTGGTTGTGGGCAGCACGGACGGAGCGAACAGGCGAGCATCGCGATCGATGTAGAGATCGTCTCTTCCAAAGAATGGGAGTTCTGAACATCCCCCCACTACTCCCTTCAAGCTACTAGGAACAAGTGCATCGCTTCTAGTAACAAGTGCCTTACTAGTAGTAAGAAGGACGCTAGTAGTACTACTCCCTTGAGAGGACTTGGCTTTGGCCTTGCCCACAGACGGTCGCGAAGAATCGGAGGCAGACACCTGCGCATAGTCCGTCGAGACCGGTTTTTGGTTGCGGGCAAAGCAGGTTCTGGCCAACTTGCAGTTGTCTTGATGTCTTATCGGCCAAGATCTGGCACAACATATTGCCAAAATGAGCTCGCTCTCGCCTCTGCAGCCGAAAGCTTCCTAGGTAAGTCTTGTTTTGGTCAACTTGTCGCACATGATGTGAAAGCCTTCAAGGTTCAAGATACTTGAGTTGCTAATTACTTGAGGCGCGGATTGTGCGAATGCATCAGTGAAAGCTGGACTCGCTGGAGAATCACGTACCCCCTTTCATCCTCCAACTTTGCAAAATTGAGAGCCGCATGTTTTAACAGAGCCAAGTCCGGCAAACCATTGGAGTTTGCAGATGTTCTTGCGAAGCCACACTGAAGGCTGAAGATACACGTACTTTGTGGCTTTCAAAGATAGGTATGTGTATGGCATCAGGTGATAGACCAAGTGGAGTTCACAAACTTGCAACTTGCAAGCCTTTCACACGCTCCAGGTCCTTTCTGTTGGATTGTCAGCCGATGTGTCTCTTCTCAGCTCGTTGCTTGCCTTTGGTGGATCGCTCTTGTGAAAGAAGGCCAGCCCCGTACAAATTTGTTGGTGCCTTTCTATTGAGGCAGGGCTGTTTGCAGGGTCCAAGAATCCAGAGTGGCTGACTAGACTGAAAGCAGATTGCGCGGAGGCAACTAAGCTGCCTCCTAACAGATGCTGGGTAACGCTAGTTTGAGGTGCTTCATTCTTCCTCTTTAAAATTGACCATCTTGGCCAATTTGGGAAGAACAGATGCTGTTGCATCCAGGGCTCACGTTTCCTACCAAAGGTCTAAGAATTTTGCCAACATGTTGTGCCCTCCAAGTGTTGTCATGAGGCCTTCTGAGCCTCAAGGTGGCCAAGCTCGCCTTGCCAGTGTCAACATCGGGATCGAGCCCCCAAATGACCAGCTCAACAAAGAGCCTGTGGATCATTCGCTGTGTGAGTTTTTTGTGATAGCCCATTGGAGGTGCGTTTCCTTCACATGTCATCCATCGTGTTTGGTTTGCTCCAGTTATTCCTCAGTTTGCAGTGACCCTTGGACTTTGTGAGGAGCCAGGTTCATGGCTTACGCCCAGGTTGATCCGGTATTGGAGGGTCGCGGTGCCTGAGCTGAGCAGCTGCCAAAACCTACGATCAGTGGTGAACTTCAAAAATTGGCTCAGAACCTGAACAAGCGATAGGCTCTCCTCGAAAGGGTGGATAACCCTGTCATTGCAGCTTTTGGATGTGTTCAGCTATGTTGAAAGTGTGGCTGGGGCGTGAAAAAGCGATAAGCCCCTCAAAAGCAAGAACCTTTTGAATCATATCCTTTTGGTTAACAAGACGTTTTGGCAGACGCTCAGCTGGATTCAGGTCCAGGATCAGAAGCCTCCAGAAGGGCCAAGGTGCAAGTTCGGAATGCATTTCGGAAGACTTCTCAAAAGAGAGCAGCTCAGGACCAGGGCAATAGGAATTTCCGACTTCAGGGACTTCAGCGCACTACGCTTTTGCGACCATGGATTTATGGCCATTTGCACCCAAGCACACCTTGGAAGATGGGTTGCAACATGTTGCAACTACTAGGAGCAAGGACGCTACTCCTGGCATCGCTACTAGGAGCAAGGACGCTACTAGGGGCTCTTGGCCTCACTACTAGTAACATGAAGCTAGTAGTAGCAAGGACGCTGTACAAACCTTGATGCGTTGGTCATCCTGTGAAACCCAACCCATGAGACGTCGTCAGATCGTTTGCCGAAAGTGCAAATGATAGGGGCAGGTCAAACCACTGGCTGGTTGGGGACCAATAGTGCGCTGAATCGCTTGTATCACGGGTGATCTTTTTGTGAGCATAGGAGCGGCTGCCTTTGCCGTCATTTCATGGGACAACCGTCACCATTTCTGTGACGGCAAAGGCTTGTACCCAGTAACGCGTCCCTGACAACACATCCAAGTATGTTAATGTAAAATTTGGGTGATGCATTCGTACGACAACAATCTAGGGAAAAAAGGACCAGATGTTCCACAGGGAATTCTCTTATACATGTTCAAATTCTAGCAGCTTTCCAACAGGGTTTGATCCTTAACGTGCTGATAGAGCAACTAGAAGTGCAGAAGAACCCTTTGCCAAGCAAGCTGGGAAAGGATGTGGGGGTGCCTTAAGTCTTGTGTTGTCCTTAGGCAGTTTGGAGTTTGGAGGCTATATAAATGCCAAAACCAGTGAAAGGACAGGCTTTTGTTGAGTGGCTTTACCGCTTGACCGAAAGCCGGTGTTTGTAAAGCATTGTAGCATATGCATTGATTTGCCTATACTTGCTTTCCACAGGCTCTAGTCGAGATGAGAATATTGCAAGTTCGCTGAGCATACATTCTCCTTTATGCTGCCCTACTGCGCTTTCTCTCACGCAGGCACAGAGCACAGTCCAGCCACCGTTGCACCTTGAAACAGTGCAGTCACACTTGCAGATGCGTTCGCATGTTGACAGACCAGACAAAGGTGGGTGAAAAGAAACTGGACGTGGCTTCGCCACAGACGTGCCTCCATAAACTGACTCATAATTGAAGCTGCAGCAGAGCAGCTCTTAGCCACCTAGCGCTGGAGCGATGTATTTTCCACATTCGTCCACATGTTTTGTGTCGATGCTTTTGCACCTCTCGATTGAATTCTTCCGTCAAGGATCTTGGGATTCTTGAAATTGTCAGACACCGTGAAGCCCTGAGAAGACCTTCTGAAATCCCTGATTGAGGATCTCCCTCGGCAGTTGATTTTTCTTGCTTTCCCCCTCCACCCTCAGCCGGGCAGCCCGTTTTGGCAATTTGCCACTCTTTGGGTAGAGGAAGCTGCTCGCCGGGCCCAGCGAGGTTCAGAACTCACGTGCTTTTAGAAGCGCGACATGTTTTGCAGAAGGAAGCCTAGGTCTTACAACATCTGAAAGTACTGTTTCCTCCATTCTTGTAACGTGTTTCCACCCAAAAAGGGCCTATGTCCACATGCGACTCGCAGCTTCTTCGAATGTCGAAGATTCCCAGCTGGAGTGTCCACTGGCTCCAGGAGAATCACTCCCACCTTCTTCAAGCCTTCTTCATGCAATCTGATGTCACGAACATAACGAGGTGTCCATAAGTCTCAAGCTAGGAGGATGCTCTCAGGATCATCGGACGTTATGGCCATGAGCATTAGCACTGCAGGAAGCCGAAACTGAGTCCCACCTAGCGATCAGAGCTCTGAAACCATTGACATGATCATATTTGGTGGTTTCCTCCGGCAAGAACGCTGTGCCGCCTTTGAAGAACACAAATTCAGTGTTTCCTTTGCCGATTCCACATGACTTGCGGAGGACAAGGAAGCTGACAAAGCTGTGTCAGCTTCCCCAGTTTGGCGTTGCGATGGAAATTGATCGAGCGAAATCGCCACACCTCCACCTGGACCAAACCGAACTCTGCCTCACATCCCCACCTGGCGCATGTGGTGTTCCCGTGGCTTGGCGCACGTGTGCAGCCACTGCGCACGGCATGCGTTCCAAGCACCAATCCGATGCTTCCCTTGTGGCGTTTTGCCCCATAGGCATAGGCTGTTTGGACCTTCTCCCATAGGGAACCATAGATTCTTCATGTCTTCATGTTCAGCCTTGTATTGTGGACTGCCTTCTCCAGCCTCCTCTCTCAGAATCATCGCTGCGCCACAAGTTCTGCAAGTTGGTCATGGATGTCCGGCCTCCTTTCTTGCCTCATTGCTTTAGATAGGCTCAAGAGGCCTTTAAACATCAAATGGTTGTGCATAAGTCTTTACAGAACACTTGAAGGTTTTTGAATCCAAAAGCCCAGAGTTCACAAGAACAAAGACCGTTGCGAAAAGTATAACAAGGGAAGTAAAAGCAGTTTAACTTGGTCTCAGCTCCTTTGCCTGATCCCCTTGAAGGTTCGTGGGCGTTCATCACTTCACCCAGAGCTTGGCTGAAGCCACACCAGCAGCTCACAAAGTATTGTAGAGCTTCGTGGATGTGCTTGAGTCGTCAAAGTTGTTCTTCAGGGGCGGGCAATATCGTCATTTAAAGCGAGAACTTAGTCTGCTAAATGTAATCCCTATCCAATGCTCAGTTCTGTTGGAACGAGTGCAAGATGCGGTTGCAATGCTTGGGGATGCCTCGGTTTTGCACGCTTCAAGCCGGCCAATATGTTTTTTTGATATCATTTGCAACAATGTGCCGCCGCAACATATTGCTAGATCTCAAAAGACGAAACCGTGTTGACTTTGTGCTCTGCCAAACGATCCAGGGTGGACAGCCAGAATCTAAAAGGCTTGCGAAGGGAATGACGATGAACTGCTGATGTTTGGTCCAGTGCTGTGCTGATCGTGCAGTGCACTGATCTCCATGTAGAAACTTCCGGTCCCTGGGACATCTAACGCTATTGTGTGAGACTCGTTGGAGAGACGCAGCATCATCCTTTGCTAGGTTGTTTTTTAAATCCATGCTCTTCCTTCGGCACGGCGGGAACATATGTTTCCAGTAAGTCAACGATGTTGGGGGAGGTGTGCAGGAAAGAACATTTGCAAAGTCAAAAACTTGCACACCTTTGTCCGGCTGCCACCCAGCAAGCAGGGACTGCAAGATAGGGTTGCAATCGCAATGCTAGCAGGGAGTTCAATCGCAATGGTTGAGGATGGCTCCCTTTTGCACACTGTAAGGCTGTAAAACTACTACCTCAGAACTTATTGGGAACATTTTCCTTTGGCCCCACATGTTGCGTGAAGTGAAGGACTAGAACAACTTTGTATAAAGGTTTCCACGCCTTTGACCGGTGTCGGAAGCCCAGTAGGCCTCTACTGAAAAGCGGTCAAGATGTTTCAAAGATGAGCAGAGACTTTGAGATGAAGCGCAAGAAGACCTTGGGTCTATCTTGCATGTAGCTCTATTGATTGAACATCGATGGAGCACAAACCGCTTCACGCCGCAGGACTTCTTTTGGAAATGCATCCCCTTCCTGTGGCTCCACATCACGTGCTCGGTGATAAAGAAAGGATGGTCGGTCCAAGCAACGAGTCGAATATATAGGGTGAGTTTTTGTCAGTCAGCTTCGGGTGCGAGTCGACGGCCAACGAAAGGCCAAGGCTTTGAGACTCAATCTCCTCATCCGACTCTCTGGTGGAACCTCGAGAGCTCTTTGACATCCATCGACTTGCACTACCTCTTCCTTTTTCCTTGAGGGGATTCGGTAGAAATACATGTGAATAGGATTGAATAGGCCAGTTTGTTCTGTAGATTTGAACATGGGGCCTGCTGTTCCCCGAGCAAGATATTGTCCTTTGATTTGCGAAAACACTAGGACAGCACAGTTTAGAGACAGCGAGCCAGCTTAAGTTAAGTTGAGATAAAGCCCCGTAACACCAATTCTGACCCGCAAGAAGACTGGGCACTGTGACGTATAATAAGCCAGAAGTTTGGCTAACGAATCGAACCTATCGAGGTTACATCTACTTTGCAGAAGCAGAACCGAAACATTTCAAAACTTCCAATTGGGCGCAGCCTTTTGCAGTCAGCAAGCGCTGGGACTGTTGTGGGTTGTTCACTTGGACGCAAGTATTTCACCTTGGACAGCATAGCCCTATTGTCTATTTTACCTATAGGATTGGAGGAAGGGGTCCCTTTGAGTGCGGGAAATGCACGATCTTTGGCCAGAAACGATTTAGACTTTGCTAAGCCAAAGCTAAAGAATTGCTTTGTCTCAAAACTACACTGACACACCCGAAAATTAATGTGTTTCATCAAAAACACATGCTGACGTCAAGGCCTGTGAAGGCTGCAATGCCCTTTGCCGACGATTCGCCAGTGCTGGCTTTGATGTGTGCATCAAGTCATTTTTGCTCGGACAGGCTTTGCTAACATCTTGCCCTCCTTTTGCCTCATGGCTTCACGAAGAGAAGGGCAAATTTTTTCCTCGAACCTTTCCCATTTTCATGAAAATCCGAAATGAAATACAATCTTGTCATTACTGTTCATCCTTTCCACGGATGTCTTAAAGTTAATGGTATGGCTCCATCGCAGCTGTTTGGCACGTTTTCGCCCACCGGTCG